ATGTTCGCGAGCTGTTCGTGCGAACGCGCGAACACGTTCGCCGTGCTACGCAGGTGCCATCCACTAGTGACATACTAGAATCAGTGCCATCCGCTAATGACATACTAGTATGGCACTGATTCTAGTACCATACTAGAATCAGTGCCATCCGCTAATGACATACTAGAATCAGTGCCATACATTTCAATTTCAGGAAAATAAACGTGAACAAGCATACGGGAATCAGTTTCATATAGAGACAATCGTCTAGACAGCAAAAAAACATTGTTAGTCAGCTAGAGCCATGACATGATTGACGTCCCAATTTGAGGCAAGATTAGCAACTGGACATCAAGCAGTCTCAGGAAGATCGCAATCCCACTGGTTAGAGAGTGACAGTGACATCTGCATTTGCCTTCAGAGAATTTCAGACACATGACTTGAATAGTTCTCCTTTTTTTTGTGTGGTGCCGCTCCGGGGGTTTGCGGGGAAGGGGAGGATGGGACAGCAAGAGGTACGAGGTGTGACCAGGGTTTAGTGCTTAAACATCATTAGAGGAAAAGTGTGCATTGACTTAAGTGTCAAACCCTAAACCCTTGGCATTGCACTCATCAAAACCCAACAGCCTTAGCACTTAAATATTACCACTCATCAAAACCTACGAAATGATTCACATGTCTAAGGACCCGGTCATGGTGCCAAGTCCCATTTCCCATTTGTGTATAATTCTGCCAGTGGGCCCCTTTGTGGAAACTTCCCACAGGTGCCGTCATGTATGGCCTGTAGGAACCGGCACGAATGGCCTCAGGCCTGCGGATGTCTGTAGGGGTTAGTAGGGTCAGTCCATTAGGTGTCGCCCACGTGACTATTTGGGGTCAGTCGCAGCTCAGTCCCAGGTAAGTCCTAAGGCTGTCTCAATCATTGCCGGCTGTGGCAGGGACTGGAGGGACCTTCATCACAAGTCTAACTTTGGACTTATGACAGGTCTAAAAGTGGAGTTGCAGCTAGAACTGGGGACTTTTGACTCCTGCTGTCGCGGAAGCGCTGCTATGTCACTGAGCGACCAGTGTATGAGGGACAAAGATTTGAGAGTGAGTGTAGCAGTACTCGACGGAGCCCGGCGCCATAGCTGTAGGAACGTGAAGACTTTCAGAGGTATACGAGGCCAGAGAGTAGATAGGAGAGAGAGTGAGGGAGAGAGAGGAGGGGGCACAGAGAGAGAGAGTGAGAGAGACATTCCTGCTTCCCTCTGGGGTTTATTGCAGGCCACCGCCCCGTGCAATGTATGCTCTATATCAGTTTGGCCTTACAATTACTTTTGATGTGATCATTGCTGTGTGAATCTAGTTGGGTTCTTGTGATGCATGTATGCGGTGTGGGAAGCAGCAGGTGTGAATCTTCATCTCATTCCACCCAAGCCCTTAGCACTTAAATACCGCACCGGTCCAACCCTGAACCCTAAACTTGAATCCGAAGCAACTCCTGTTCCGCCAAACTTTGGGGGCCTCATGTACATGTGTATGCATACGAATGTGTGCTGTCTCGTGTGCAACAGTCATGCAGTTTTTTTTTTCATTAAAAAAAAAAGTGGAAAAAAAAATGCTATGCACATTGCAAGACAAACAACTTTTGGCTGAGAGTGATCTTGGAATTCATAGTGAAATCCGAGGGGAAAAAAACAGCATCCACACCATGGTAACCGACTGGACGTCCGGATCGGGTTCCAGACAGTCCGGAACGACATGTCTGGGTCCGGTGTCCGGTCCGTGATGTCCGGATGGAGGCCCCCAGGGCAAAAATCGGGAAAAAAAAGGGCCAGCCCAGGACGTTTTTCGGGTCCTGGCTGCCCCTTGAAAAATACCAGGGTTATTTTTCAGTGTCGTTTCACCCCACCGAACAGGGCCTAGAGGTCCGGACACAAGACATTGCAGGTTTTGGGGGTGCGGGTTTCACACAGGCCTGAGAGAGAGAGAGAGAGAGAGAGAGAGAGAGAGAGAGAGAGAGAGAGAGAGAGAGAGAGAGAGAGAGAGAGAGAGAGAGAGAGAGAGAGNGAGAGAGAGAGAGAGAGAGAGAGAGAGAGAGAGAGAGAGAGAGAGAGAGAGAGAGAGAGCACTGACAGTGCTGCCAGTCTGAAGACTGACGTTCTGAATTGAACTGCAAAGTTTGAACTTCTAAGTTATATGAAGTGTAATGACCCGCCAAAAACACAGACTGAGAACACTGCCGATTTCTGGGATTTGCCGCTGGAATGAATGCCTTGTTGAGATTGCCGCATTCTGCTGTGATTTCCATGTCTGTGTGCGTGTGCGTGCCTGCTGGTTTGCATGCCTGTCTGAGTGCTTGTCGGCTGAGTGTGTGTGTGGCCTGCAAGGGTACTTGTTGGTTGAAAGGCCCCGCAGGGCTGGTACTTACCTGTGGCCGTGACTTTGAGGGTTGCAGCGGGGAAAACACTCGAGTAGCGGGGGTAGGCCCGCGACACTTAGAGCAGAGGGGAAAAACACTCAAGTAGCAGGTAGGCCGGTACCACTGAAGTAGTGGTAGAAGTGTCGGGTACTGGAGGCCGAGCAGAAGAAGACAAAAAGTTGGCATTTTTAGAGGCCCAGTAGCGGTAGGCTAGAGGTAGGCCGGTACCAGTCCAAGTAGCCCGGGTCTAGGGCCTGTCCGGAGGATAGCAGAGCCTGCAATGATGTTTCCCTCCGAAAGGGAGGAGGTACCGGTTGCTGGGAGGCCGCTCGGCCTAGGAAGTCACCGCCCAAGAGGCCAGTAGGCCGCTATATCTTCGGGAGGAGCAAGAAGCTCCTCCTCATTTGCAGTATGCAAGGATTGGCGACATGCTGCTGGAGCACAGCGCTGGACTGATACAGCGCTGCCTGGAGGTGAAGGGAGCTGGCGCTCAGCCTGGCTATGGCGAGCAACCCAGCCTGAGGAGGAGGAAGAAGGGGGCGAGGGAGGAGAGTGGCGAGGCACCTACCTGGCTATGGTGCACACCCTCTTCATCACGTTGTTGGGCGCTGCATCTGGAAGGCCCCAGTTGGGGTAGTGCCGCACCAAGGAAGCTCGAGGCAGAGTCTGGCATGGTGGATCAGTCACCAGCAGCATAGCTACTTTAGGTTATCCTTTGGACAGGAGTGCAGCCCCATAGCTGCTTTGGGTTGTCCTTTGGACAGGAGGGCAGGGCCCTCAGTAGTCCACCATAGCCTAGGCATGTGAGAGGAGGAAGAAGGAGGGAATCCATAGCTATGCTGGACTTGTTGTTGTTGTTGTTGTTGTTGTTGTTGTTGTTGCTGAGTCAGCAGTAAGAGGGAACTTCGGATATTGATTCTGGTTCATCCACTAATTGTTATAATTATTATTGGGAGAAGAATAAGATTGGCGAAGTGAAGGAGGAGGAGGAAGGTGGAGAGAGAAGGGGGAATTGTCATTGGTCTTGCTGCTGTACATCTTCTTCTTCTTCTTCTTCTTCTTCTTCTTCTTCTTCTTCTTCTTTCTCTCTCCTCTGGTCTCTATCTCTTTGCAAGTGCTTTCCTTTTTTTCGCAATTGGTTGGCATTGTCTTTCATTGTGAATTTGCACTTTGGGAATGACCAGGATCGTAACAGAAGTTATGAACTTAAATTACTTAAATTCAAAGTTCAAACTTCAAAGTTAAACATACTTTTTTCATTTTTTTTCTCTGTTTCTTTAGTACTGCCTGCTTTGCACTGTTTGCAACTCTGCATGTCTGCTAGTTGAATGTGCTTGTTGATTTGCTGCAAGACAGGTGCTCTGCCCCCTGAAATACAAAGTGCAAAGCAGGTGAGTGCCTGGCAACACCCCCCCCCCCCCCCCCCCCCCCGTTTTTTTTTGGCTTTTTGTTTTTTTTTCCCTTGGTCCGGACATCTTGTAGCCCCTGTCACCGGTCCGGTCATGTCCGGGTGTCCGGAGATGTCCGGTGATGTCCGGATCACTGGACAGTCCGGACCGGTCCAGACACTAGTCCAGAAGTGTCCGGGTCCGCGGTTACCATGATCCACACAGTGTGCATGCATGTGAATTGGTTGGTGACGTGTACACCGATGCATACACGAATCGGTACACCATGCGTGTAAGTACAGGTTGCAGCACTGCCCATAGAAAGGATTTTGCACGTCTCAGGAGTCCCAGTCCCAGTTCCACGTCCCAGGGCTCCATGTAACATAGTCCCAACCCGTGGGAGTCTTCGGCCCATCCGTACAGCAGCAGGTAGACCTGATAGGTCGGTCAAAAGTAGGTCGGAAGGTAGCCCTCCGGTAGGCCCTGTTCGTTATTTGCTGGTCGGTGTCAGTTCGTCAGTCCGAAAGACAGCTCAGTCCCAGGAAAGTCTTTGAACATTTCCGAAGCATCGAAAACAAACCGCAGCGAGCAGGCGAAAGGATACCAGTCTGGAAAGATCCAAATGGGGAACTGTAGCACGTACATAAGGCCAGCATCAGCAGAACGTCAACACAATTTTCATCTGTGCCTAACATGGATGGGCTGCTGCCGTCTTGTGCACATAGGAGTAAGTGAGGCTGAGAGACACAGAAGTGTCAATGGCACCGGGCAGCATAGCTGATAGCAAGAGAGTGTGGTTGAGGGAAGATATTCAGAGAGTGTGCGCGAGGCCTGTGAG